TAATTTATATTTGTGGATAACTTCGGATAAATTCGTCAGTTAATGCACGTTTGTGGATAATTTGATTTTCGGATACATTTTTCACGATTGTGGATAATTTCGATAGATAAATGATCTACAATAACGGATAATTTTTTTACCTTAATGGAAAACTTCGGATAATTTTGGATAAATTATCAATGTTAGTGGATAATTTCGAAGATAGTATCTATGTGATTGAAAATTTCGGATACAAAATACAAGTTTGTGGATAATCCGATATTTGGATAAAATTACCACAATTGTGGATAATTTCGATTTATTTGGATAAATTGAATAAAATATTTACCTTAAAAGATAACTCCGGATAATTTTGAATAAATTATCAATGTTAGTAAATAATTTGGGATAAATTATCCTTGTCAATTGCAAATAACTTTGTATAAATTATCAACCTTAGTGGATAATTTCGGATAAATGATCTTTGTGATTGATAGTTTCGGATAAAAAATGCACGGTTTTAGATAATTTCTATACCGTAAAAATAATCTATAATATCGGATCAGTTGTTCATAATATCGGATAAATTGTCCAAAATACCAGATATTTTATTTAGGTTAGACGATTGTCGGATCGGATAAATATTCCTTGTTTTTGGACAATTGTGAGTGAATTATCTTAGTGCTTTCATAATTTCAGATAAATGATACAACTTTGTACATTATTTAACTTTTCGGATAAATTTGATGCAAGTTTATGGATGACTTCAATTTTCGGATAAACTTTTCACGATTAAGGATAAATTAGGCAAATGTGGATAAATTTAGGCGATTAACTTCGGATGAATAATCCTCGTTTTGGACCATTGTGAATAATTCTGGATAAATTGCCTACGTTGGTGGACAATTTCGATTTTCGGATAAGTTTGGATAAATTACATAATTTGTACGAAATTATCCATCCATATGGAATCTCATATAAATTATTTTTGTTTGTGAGGGATTTCGGATAAATCTTTCACGTTTGTGAATAATTTTGGATAATTTATCTGCATTTGTGGATAGTTACGGGTAATTTATATATGTTTATAAATAATTACCGATAAGTTAACCACAATTGCGGATGATTTTGGATAAATAATCAACGTTTCTGGATGATTTCGTATATTTTCTTAATTCCATCTCTATCCCAAGAACCAACAGCACATTTTGTGGCATCTTGCACATTTTGCACCAAAATCAACTAGTCTCAGCCACCGACACCAAGAGTGACATCCATATCAAGTTTCAGATTCCAACTCTATCCGAAAATCTATTTCCGAAACCACCTCCATATGTCCAGTTTACACATAAACAGCTAGCCTCGTATCGAATTTCAGATTTCAAGCACTATCTGTTCATCCATAGCCAAATTGTACCAAACCTAGTACTATGTAGTACTTTTCGTTCACTTGTAGTCTACTTTTCCAAAACCTCCTCTTTATCACAAACCAACCACCAACCCCAGAATAAAATTTCAAAATTTCAGCTTCAACAGTTCTTCCTAAGCGAAACTGTTCCAAATTTAGTACCATTTAGTACAGTTCGCACACATTTCCAAAACCACCATCATATACCGAACATACTTTCCAACCTTGAAATTTCAAATTTTAAGCTCTATCCGCTCACATAATAATACCAAATGGCACCATTTTAAAAGTTTAGTACCATTTTCTAACTTTTCGTAACCATAAAGTTCGAATTTAAAAAAATCCTTTGGTGCATCTATTCTGCACTCCATCAGTGACTCTCATTCCAAGTTTCAGAATTCCAGCTCCATCGGTTAATCACAATTCCAATTTGTACCGTATTATTGTACACTACACTCCGACAGTAATCTTATTTCCAATTTCCAGGATACCTGCTCTATTGGTTCATCCAAATCCAAATTGTACCAAATTTAGTACCATTAAGTACACTTAAGTACTAATTTTCGTAACTACCTACATCATACAGTCCAATAGTAATCATATTTCTAAATTTCAGAATTCCATCTCTATCGTTTTACCCAAATCATAATTGTACCAAATTTAGTACCATTTAGTACTTTTCGTGTACATAAGTACATATTCAGAAAATTTCCTCCATATCCGCCAATAATGTTAATTTCAAATTTCATCCGTTCAAATGTACTAGATTTAGTACCGTTTAGTACTTTCCGTATGTATGTACATTTCCAGCACAACCTCCTCACATCGATTTTACTCCTAAACCTTGATTCCCATTCCAAATTTCAAGTTTTTAGCTCTTACCCAGCTCCATCGTTTACCGTTTACATGATACGAAATGGGGCTAAACGTAGTAAAAACCCTTTGGTACAACTACCATGCACTCCATCAGGGCCCCTCAATCTAAATTTAAGAGTTCTAGCTCTACTTATACCTATATATAATTATTTAAATATTTTTCTTTATATCCATGATATTGGCTATCAGCACCAAAGTAACGGTCAAATGATCTTGAAAATGACTTCAGATTTCGACTGGCTTCGAAAATTTGTTGTTTTGTTTCTTTAACAAATGTTATGGTAAATTTCAACCTCTAAATATTATCCGCTGAACATCCAAATCGGTTGGCTTCCTGAAGAGGAACTGCAAAATCAGTATTTTTATACCCTACACCACAAGGTGGTCAGGGTATTATGCCTTTGTGCATTTGTTTGTAACAGGCAAAAGGAAACGAGATAGACCCATAGTTCCTTTCGATGATCTGCATAGAATCACTTTCTGAGTTGATTTATGCATGTCAGTCCGTCTGTCCGTCCGTCTGTCCGTCCGTCCGTCTGTCCATGTATTTTTGTGAACAAAATGCAGGTCGCATTTATTATCCGATTGAGATGAAACTTTGCAAACAACATTTGTTTGGCCCAAGGACGAACCCTATTGAAATTGGAGATAATCGGTAAAAATTTAGATATAGCTTCCATATATATCTTCGTCCGATTTGTCTTTTATTGTGCACCAAACGTGTAATTTCAGCCCGAATAGCATGAAATTTTGCACATACAACCAAATTAGGCCTGAAAATAAGTATGCCAAATTTGATCGAAATCGGTTCAGATATAGCTATAGCTCCCATATATATATTGTTCATCCGATTTGTTATTTTTGTCCTCCGCAGTCGTAATATGCACTCTGTAACAACAATATTTGGGGAAATATATCAAATGCAGCTCAGAAATACCTTTGCTAAATTTTATCGAGATCGGTTCAGATTTGGATATAGCTCCCATATATAACTTCGTCCGATTTACCTTTTATTGTGCACCAAACGTCTAATATTTGCCCAAATGGGATGGAATTTGGCACATACGACCGAATTAAGTCTAGAAGGTAGTATGCCAAATTCGGTGAAGATCGGTTCAGATATAGCTATAGCTCCCATATATATATTGTTCATCCGATTTGTTATTTTTGTCCTCCGCAGTCGTAATATGCACTCCGTAACAACGATATTCAGGGAAATATATCAAATACAGCTCAAAAATATCTTTGCCAAATTTTATCGAGATCGGTTCAGATTTGGATATAGTTCCCATATATATCTTTATCTGATTTCAAATTAATTTTGCACCAAATGGGCAATACAAGTCCGAATTTAAAAGATACAAATGCTTTGGCATATTTAGTCCTTTGAATTTGAAATTATAATTATAATCATAGCGTGTATGATTGAATTCTCCCATAAAAACTTTTAATTATTAAGTGGAGCTCAACTAAATTAGCAAAGTGGTGTAGGGTATCATAAAATCGGCCCCGGTCGACTTTAGGACTTTCTTTACTGGTTTTTTTGTATTATTATCAAGATCGAATATTTCGTGCAACTGTTTCGCCCATTTGAACTTATAACACCCCCAACACATATTGTTGTAGCATAAACATTTTTAATCTACATTCCAATTATTATTCTTTTTTTAATACTTATTTTTTCTGACAGAATCCAATATAATTGGGATCCATTATAATTTGACATTTATTATTCTTATTTATTATTACAAATACTTACATAAAAATAATTTAAAATGTTTTCAGTTTTTTTTTTTTTTTTTTTGATATTTTCAAATATAAATAAAATTTCTAAATTGGTTTTCCTGCTTTTTGGGCCAAAAACAGAATTCTAAGAAATACAAAAATTTTAAAAATAATCTTCACTGTGACGCACATAAATTGCAAAAAAAAGAGCACCGCACACAATCCACATTGGTTGAGGGTGGAGGGGGATTCAATGAAAGACTCCCCAAAACAATATTGACACACTTTTCAATATTTGCTATTTTGTTGTTGTTGTTATTGTCTACTTTTAATTGAGCACAAAGCATCAATGATTTATGATCCTCCGCTTAACAGATGTGGGAATTTTATTCAAAAAAAAAAATCTGTTTGGTTTTGGTTTTCGTTTTTATTAGCACTTCTCAGGCACTTAATAAATCAAAGGGTAATTTTCAATTTTCACTGATCTTTTTTTGTTTTTGATGATAATTTCCTTTGTTGTTTTAATCTTTTCATTTAATTTAATCAACATAAAATGATTTAACATATCTTCTTATTTTATTTATTTTTCGTTTTTTTTTTTTCTTTTTTTTGTTTTGATTCAAAGAAGTTGACAAACATTCCAAACGATGCCTAGGCAAGCATTCACTCGGCACGGAATTGAAGATTCTTTTGCCATTGAACAAAGCAATCACTGAAAAATTGCAAATGGTTGGTCGGTTTGGGGCGGCCGGTCAATGACGACGGTACTTTCTGGTACCCATCGCCATAGTCATGGACATTTATTATTGTTGTTACACTTGTCGTTTTTTGTTGTTGTTGTCACTTGTTTTTTGTATCCATTTCTTTTAAATTGTTGTCATTTTGATTGTCCCGAGATCTTCTACGCCGTCCGCTTTAGCCACACTCACATAAATTTCAAAATTATTATTTCGTTAAATAACACAAAAAACAAAAAATAAAAATTTCGCAAAGGAAAAAACAACGACATTACCTTTTTAAATATTAAACAACGAAAAATCACTCTTTGACACAAGAAGAGAGGCAAGAGTAAGATCTTCTCTCACTTCGCAAAAAACATCTAATAACAAGCAAATTTTCCGCACGCGTCTCTCTCACTTATTTTCATCCAACAATTCGTTTAGATTTTATTTAAATTTGCGTATTCTTTTACTTTTGTTTGGTTTCACTTTTTGTGTCACCGTGACCGCGCGATCACATCACTTCATTCTAGATATTCCGTCTCCAAAGTCTTTGCTTTGCAAATGTGCAACAAGAACTGACAACAAAAACAGAAATTCTTTTCTTTTGAGTTTCCCCTTGGCTTTGAAGATGTTTAGCTACGGCACTCATTCACTCTCTCCAAGAATTTCCCCCTTGTGTGGCATAGCACACGAGCTGGTGAGCGACCGATCTTCATGTCACTCACTCAACGTTGCTTGTCATTGTCGTCATCATCATCATCGTTGACTATGTTGTTGTTGCTGCTGGCATTTTCTTCTACAACATGTGCCCAGTATTTGTATTTGTCTCTTGCAGAAGGAAGAACAACAACAAGCTGAGCATAGAAGACACATTTTTGAGGGGGTGAATCTTGTACTCACACAAACAAATAATGTCTCAAAATATCTCAGCTGTTTAGAGGAAATCATCTCAAGAATTCAGTCGTCAATAATGCAAAGAGCTACAGAGATTGCACAGTGTTTGGAATTGGGACAATTAGAAAATGAAAAGGAAAAAACATAAACCCATTGAATTAATAACAACTAAACATACAAAGAAACAAGTAAAAAAAGCTGTAAGTTCGGCCGGGCCGATCTTTGAATTCCTTCCGCCATTTAGAACGATTTTGCCAATTTTCCAAAAAAAAGATAAAAAAAAAATCCGTTAAAAATTCTGTTAAAATCTTAAAAATACCGAACGTAGCCATTATATTAGGGTCTATACTACGACGTGGACCTACATAGGCTACTTTTGTCATAAGCCATTACAATATTCAAATGCGAAAAATCGGTGAATAGTATAGCTAAAATCATCAAAAGACCGAATAAAGGGAGGTACCATTATAAGGGGGCTATACCAAAACGTGGACCTGTTCAGATAATTGTCTGTCATAAGCTGTAGTATCAATTACGAACTTCAAATATGAAATTAGAAACAATACCGGTAAATAATGTGGCTAAAATCATCAAAATACCGAATTTCGGGAGGTGCCGTTATATGGGGGCTGAACGAAGACGTGGACCTGGACAGAAAAATGTTTGTCTTAGACTGTAGTATCCAATACGAACTTCAAATACCAAAATTCCAGTGAATAATGGCGGGAGGTACCGTTATATGGGTGCTATACCAAAATCTGGACGTGAACAGACAAATTTCTGCCTTAGTCTGGAGTATCCATTACGAACTCTAAATACGAAATTTGAAACAACTCCGGTGAATAAATTCGCTAAAATCATCAAAATACCTAATATTGGGATGTACAGTTATATGGAGGCTATACGAAGGCGTGTCCCTGCGTACGCACTAGGAACTCCTTGTGTGGATTTTCTGACATTTCTATTGAAAATGTGGCTAAAATCATAAAAATACCAAATATCGGAAGGTGCTATTATATGGGGGATATACGATATCGTGGATCTATATAGAAAATTCTTTTTCAGGTTGTAAAGTACTCGCAAGGAACTCCATGTGAAAATTTCAGACAATTCCATTGAAAAATGTGGCTAATAACATCAAAATACCGAATATCGAGGGAACCGTTGTACGGGGGCTATACGATATCGTGGACCGATACAACCCATTTTCGAACTTGACCTGCCTGCAGGCTAAAGACATATCTGTGCATAATTTCATTTTCGTTTTGACTGAAGCGTAATTACAACAGACGGACAGACGGAAAGGGCTACATTTTACTCTGATCAAGAATATCGTATAGCTTTGTTGGGTCTAAAATTATTATTTTGATGAGTTACAAACGGAATGATAATATATACGATTATTTCATGAAAATTTTGACCGCGAATGTGCCTCAATCTTGTCTTACAATGCGTCAAGTGAAGTAGGCTCGCCTGTCATGATTTTTAATGATTAGTAACATTGCCCCACAAAAACTAGTCTAAAGGCGTTAAATCGCACTAGGCGACCAATCGACCGCCACATTTCAAGCAAGCCAAGCTCGTGCATTTCGGGCAAACAAATTTAATTATCAACTCATTCGCAGCATGTTTGAAGAAATGGGGCCCAATGATGTTACCAGCCCATAAACCGGACCAAGCTTTAACATTTCTGGATGCATTTTAGCCTTTGTAATGCTTCTGGATGATCTTCACTCCAAAATCGCCAATTCAGCTTCTTTACGTACCCACTTTCTTAACAAAGCACATATTTTGACCAAAACAAACTGAAGATGTTTGACAGTGAAACAAAACAAGAAACGTGAGTGAACGGTAAATTTGTGTTGCCAAAAATATAAAAACGAAAACTTATACAGCAGAACCACCTCCTCGCAACAAACATTGAAACCCATACAATCGACTCAAGAAAAAACTATTTTCTGAAATATATATTTTTTAATATATGAAAACTGGGAAAACAATAATACGTTTTATACCGCAATATTGAATTAAATAAAAAAAATAAAGTGGAAATTCCCATTTTAAAAATGGTACGCTGTCCAAGCCAACTTTACATCATATTTGGATTTCAGGAGATACAAAATGAAACAATTGAATCTTAATATTATCTGAAAATCCTGCCAAACCTTACATATCTACAGAGCGTTCTACAGCTATGTCGGACTAAACGTATTATGCCCTAAAGTACCCATGTAACTTTCAATGAGAACTTTAAATTTTTGAAGTATCCCATCACACCTAACTTTAAAGGTTATTGTATGTTCTTTTGGTCTCGGTGTTTAGAATAAAAAAATCGACCATCTGAACGTCCTATAGCAATGACATTGGATATCTAAAAAGGAGATCTCAATCACTTCCATACATTCATATTTAACCGCATATTATATCTTCTTTTGCATATGTTATCTCAAAATTATATATGTATTTTGTAGTTTCCATACACCGTGCCCTGCAAATATCATGGCTCTAAGGAATGCACTTGTTATCAATTATTCAAATATCTCTCAAATACCCTACCTGTCGCTCTCAACATTTTCACTCAATTTTCCATATCTCTCAAAAATAAATGCTCTTTTTTTCTTTACTCTCATTTCCCCATTTGAAATTGTTTGGACAACTCAAACTGCGAAGTCATTATCGTTTCACGTTGTTGTACGTCATCAATGTCGCCAATAAGACGTAGATGTTTTGGTCGGTGTTGTTGTTGCCACTGGGATTTTCGTATTTTCATCACAGGGACAAATGCAGCAATGCCGGCTCACCATCGCTCTCATCATTATCATCATCATCCTCTGTGTCACTATCATTGCATCCATTAGCATTAACACTGCACTGCACTTTGGTGTTGCATTGTCAAATACCCCTGGTGTTTTGGTAGTTCTTGTCATTGTTGGTGTTTGTGCTGACGTACATATTCGGTTGTTGTGTGTGTGCATTGTTGTTGCATTAGTTGTTATTGTTTGTTTCTTATTTTGGTTACGCACTTGTTCCCTTATTTCAAATGGGATGAGTACGGATGTTTGTTTATTTATATTACTCTCTCCTTTGTCCCCTCTCTCCCTCTCTCTCTGATACAATCGATTTGCCATTAGTTTAAAGAAGAATATTGTGAGAAATACTAATTTGCTGGGAGAAAGTGTTGAATTTTGAATACCTTTATCTTGTTGCCACTCTTCCACGTGAGTTTGAGAGTTAGCCATTAATGCATTTGATTTGTTTGTTTGTCTGTCTGTCTACCTGTGTGTGCCTGCCTTTCCGTATCGTTGGCGGCTGACTGCATCGTTATGTCGATTATCCACTGCTCGTGTCCTGTTTACATGGCTTATTTGTTTTTGTTTTGATTGTCTCGTTCAGTTTTCATGTAACCCGAAACAGCGGGTGTCCGGCGTCAAAAAGAAAGGACATTTGTTTTGTGTTTTTTATAGTTGGACTTTAAAGGTAAAAGAGATACAATACATGACATTAAATTAACTGGTTCACCAGAGGAATCTTTCCTCGATTTCGAGTGATTCCCTTTTCGATATTTTCTATGAATGTTTTTTTTTATTGCTTATTCAAAGCAGAAAATTGTCTGTGCAGGTCCACGTCTTCGTATAGCCCCCATATAACGGTACCTCCCGATGTTCGGTATTTTGATGATTTTAGTACGTAATTTTGATTTAGAGTACGTAATGGGAACTACATCCGTGACAGAAAATTGCCTATGCAGGTCCAGGTCTTCGTATAGGCCCCATATATCAGTACCTCTCTTTATTCGGTATTTTGACGAGTTTAAGTACAATACCCACCGAAATTAGGGATTTTATTTTTTTTTATTTCCAAATTCGTTACAACTGGTGGAGGGTATTCAAAGTTCGTCCCGGCCGAACTTACTGCTTTTTTGACTTGTTTTAAATTCAAAAGGTACCAGTCGGATATACCCCCTTAGAATATGACCAATTATTTTTATAAACTCATTCTGAGGAGGTAACAGAGGTACATATTCCGTTCTCACACTGAATCAAATGTTGGTAGAGATATTGTAATGTTCGAAAATCGGGTAATCATTTCATTACGATATGGGAAGGAGTCGTTATTGGCGAATCTTAACTGGATTTAATACAAATCTTATACAAGCGTATATTCATTTTAATAGTATTCAATATTAATTTCTATACAAAAAATATGTTTAAAACATTTGATCGTTTATGAGGGAGGTTCAAGATGTAGACTGACTTATCGGATCTTCATACGAAACCAAAAGGTAATACAATTTAGTTTAGGGTGAACGGAAGAAGCTAGTAATATGAAATGTTGGTATTGGGGTCCCTGTTGGTGGGAGATTTGTGATAAAGGGGTTGTTTTGAAAATATGTACTTCAAGTGCACGAAAAGCACTATTTAGTACTATATCATGTATTATTTGGTATTATATTTGTACATTCTGAAATTTGATATTTATATTACTTATGGTATCTGTAAGATTTGGCACAGATTTGGAAATGCGTCCTATATTAGTCCGAAAAGTACTAAATGGCGTTAAATTTAGTAATGGGTGAAGGAACAGGGCTGCAATACTGAAATTTGATATTAGATCTCTGTTGGTATCTGGAATTGATATATGGAGGCGGTTTTGGAAATGTGACCTATAATTGTTCGAAAAGTACTAA